TCGGAACAAGACGACACTCCTCTACGAGCGCTAGATGGGAACTGAACAAAATGGTTCAACTATAATCAAGGAGGTGGAAACCTTGCCTTGAAATCTACAAGATGCGGTGTTGTCAAATGAACCAGTGATAGAATGTTGCAGAATTTGTGGCGATCCTGACTCTCCATTTCGCTGTAAAACGAAGCGCCGTTACGTCCGATCAGCAGCGTTATTACGTATATATATATATATATATATATATATATATATATATATATATATATATTATATAATGTCAAAAAAGACCGATCAAATGTCAACTTGTTGCCTAAGTAGATCAGTTCATTCCGCGCTTGCTGTAAGTAATCATGATGTGAACGAGTCGACGTATTTTAGGAAAACCTATAGAATCTCATAAAAAAACTACAAAATGTCAAAGAAAGCCTACATAATGTCACTTTGCAAGTTACGTAATACCCCTGCCGGAATCAGTCCTAAACAGATCAGACACAATTCACAATTTAACAATGTATACGCTCAAAATAAAAGCATTATTTGGGCGTAAAGAATAAGCTAACGAATATTTTCAATATGCATCTTAATTCAAGGAACTGCTGTAACATAGTGGCAACTCGGCACATTGCCGCGTCAGCGTTGCAGGGCAACGTGGTTATGAGGTTCGCTATCCAGGTGACTTTTATCTCTTTCTAACATATGTGTCTGTACACACTTTTCTCTCGTACACGTTGAACTCCAGCCATCCGACAAATTTGGTTTTCCCTGTATATCGTGTAAATAAAACGAACTTCGTACACCACAGCGTAATGTTATGAAATCTGATAGGATGATGTGTAATACTTATTGATTCATTCAGATAGTATATATGCCGTTTTTTGTACGGTATAATGATAAATACTTGCAGTTTTATCTTAAACTGTGTCGCTGCATTAACAATGCAAGGCCAGGTTATCGACACAGAGCGGCTTACGCATTTGATATTTTCTGATCAATTGAAGCAGTTAATAGTGTTTATCCTTAAGAAATAGAAGAACTTTTTATATAAATATATACAAACTGACTTCATCGCTATGATCTTAATGATACCGCCGTGCTAGGTTGTTTCTTAATGACGTACTAGTACTCTAGGATATGGTTACTATAATTTTGTAAAGAAACGTTTATATTAACATATATTCGCAATGGCCTAGATTTTTTAGCTAAAATGTCGGTTTTTAAGAAAAAATAATCCCTCTTTTGTATTCTTGCTTGTTATAAGATGGTATAAAATGACATATTCGTAGCGTAAAATGCCATTTTGTTGCCACCAGTAGGTCTACAAACATTACCAAAAAAACAAAATTATCTTTCAGTGATTTTTTTTTCAAGTTAGCTTGAGCGAAAAGATATTATAGCACTCGGCAAACAGAGTGCCGACGCAATTCATAAAGAATATGAGTTATGGTGCCAGTATATTGATTATCAAAAATAAATTGAATTAAATCTTACCTTATACCCACATCTGAGAATCTAAGGTCATAAGAATCAGATCAAGGATTATTTTCCACAACTTGTCATCCCATGTGAGATATATACACATTTGGAAAAATTATCTTGCTGCCATCTCTTATGCAAACATATAACCTTCACACTGACGCTGGATAGATCACTCTATGATGCAGGCAGTAGCGCCATCTATCAGTAGAGCTCCGTTATGCTGTTACTCGGAGGAGAACACTATATGTTGTTAGTGCATAGTTAGGGTGTGGCGTGAGAGATGGCGCTGAAGTTATTGCATGGCGTCATCTTTCGGTCAAAAGCTGAACCTTGGAAGCGTTAACGACTGCCGGAATCTACCGCATAATAAAGTATTCAGTTTAGTCGTTACTCGTTAGATGGGGGCCATGAGAGGAAAATAATTATGTATCTTTGAACTTATGAATCAATTTTGCTTTTTCGGTTTGAATTATTGAATTTCTGAATATGCAGTTCTGTTTTCCTACACGTAGCGGTATCTACGGTATCTGTTTTGGGTAATGTACTTAAGTGCGTTTCAGCTCATATTTAGCATTTGGTCTAATCGGTGACCAAATATGTACCTAACCTGTATTTTAAGGTTTTAGCCTGATTTAAAAAATACCTGACTTTCAATTCAACCTCAAAATTAAAATATTCCTGTAAATTCTTTGAAAACGTATCATTCCATCCCTAACATTGGAATATAATTATCAATGTACAAATAATTTTGAGTGTGGGTCTATGAATTATAAAACGAGTAGATGTTCAACAGTTCAACAATGACTATTAACCTCAGACATTTCTTCATTGATGGGTACAATCTGAGATGGTCGGACATTGACACTAGAAAATATCGAAAGACTAAACAACTGAGATTTCAATTAAATTAAAAAGAATTGCCTAGATATATGAGATATAATCGAGTGCATTACTGAGGATCCCAAGAACAAATAAATAATAATAATAATAAAATAATAATGTTTTTTTAAATTACTGCAATCTTATTTCAAAACTTTCATGTTGGTCGGATCTATTGGGTAATAAATTAACCTTTAAGGGCAGGTACACATATTGCTTTTTAATTAATCGTTGTTTCATTCATAGTGCAAGATATGATGACAGATTGATGTATCCACAATAATTCATCAAGACTAAGGATCCGCCAATCAGGCATTCTATTGCCATCAATTTTGGGTTTTTCCGAAAATCATTTCGGAGACTTCGATTTATTTACTAAATGAGTTAAGGCCAGATTTAGTGTTGCTGGTTGAACTAGCCTGTGTTTGAATTTCAAACTTGCACAAAAAGAAAACTGGGGCGTATTATTATGAGTTTGAAATCTTACTAAGAGATGGCACTTCCATGTTATACCAGCGCCATCTCTTACTAAGAACCTTTACTTGCAATCTCTTGACGATTCACGGTGTGGAAAACTTGCGTATGAATCTAAGTAATATGAATTGCACTGAAAAGATGGCGCTTCAGATTTTGGCGCCATCTCTTAGTACGACTTTGTAGCTCGACACTGAGAGTTCAGGAAATCTACCTTATTATACTATTTACTAAACAAGATATTTTCTTGAATTAAATACATGCCTAACAGATGGTGTCATGGATTTTGAAGATGATTTTTGTTTTATTGGAGAAATTTAATTGTCGAACGGTTAGAAATGAGCAGTTAGATGACTGAGACTGTACACTGTACAGAATTGGCGAACTTAGGCTTTTGAATAGATCTTCGAGGACTGTAAACTAAGTGCTGATGCGTTTTTTTATTGTTTTTATTCTAATATAATTACAACTTTATATTGTCACCTTCAAAATAACTTCCTTCTGAAGCCACACAGCGCTGGAGACAGTTTTCCTACTCCTCATAGTAGTGATGGAACTTAGAAGATGCTCGAATAGCCTTCAGGAGCTCGGTTACAGTCATTTGATTGTTATCGACTGACCCAAAATGAGTTTCCGTTTTGAGGTGATTTTGCAACAAAGTCACAAGGACTCAGACGAATAAGGAGGCTGAGGAGCCACAGGGGTGGTTTTACTGGTCAAAAACTCGTTTATTGACATTGCTGCGTGACAAGGAGTATTATTGTAATTCAACACCTGGTTTTTCTTGATCTGATGAACGGTGTGGAGTCACATTTAACGCACAAGCGCACAAGTTTCCGATTTTGTTGATATTTTGATCGGTTCTTGAAGATGAAGGTCTTCCGCTTCGTGGTTTATGTTCAATCGACTTTCTCCCTTCTGAAAATGCTTAACCACCGAAAAACCTGGGCTGTTGATAACGTAGATCGTAGGCCTGCTGAAGTCTAGCAAGAGTTTCGGTTGCACTATACCCAAGACTGAAGCTCGAACTCGATGTCACTCAGTTTTAGAGCACAATAAGAAAAACCGTTTCACATAAAAAATCGCTACGGACAACCAAATGACTCAAGTAAGTTCAAACTTGTACTGAAAGCGGATCACATGTTCCCCTGCCTCCCTTCCGGCGCTTCCAGTATTACCAGATCGACAGTTGGTAATCTGGATCTACTTATTATGCAAATATGACCATGATGCTATTCTGAGTCTGAGCCTATATGGTTCGAGCTCTCCTCAATGATGCGCAGGGGCGTTGTTTCTTGCTTTTTTTATGGGACGACAAACCTCAAGAAGCGCAGGGCGTTGAATCTCAAAATGCGCCACTGGTGAGTGAAGTCTGGCTTGACTGGTGGAACTGTGCGTATCAAAAAGCGGCTTTTCTTTGTTTATGTGGCATGGATATACATTAATTGTCTACGTTTGATGTATACAATGCGTATTTTGTTTTCTAGGGGGACACAAGTTTGGCAAAATATCACGTTAGCACGATCAGCCCCCTAAGCAGGGGTGACACCACCTCAAAATCCTAAATGGAAAGGGGGGTCGACTGATACCTTATTTTAAAGATCTCTCAATTCCCTTTATAATGATATAAAATTAATGTACTTCAGTTCAGTAGTTTTGAAGATTTATTGATTTAAAGCTTAAATAAAACTAATACATCATTAGTAGAGTGTACTACTTTCAGAAGAAGTTTCCATTTAAGATTTTGGGAGTGGTGACACCTCCGCTTATGGGGCTGCACGTGCTAACGAGATTTTTCGTTAAACTTGTATCCCCCTCGAAAACAAAATCGACGGGTCTGATCATTTTTCAAAAAAAAATCTGAGCTGCCAGTAAATGCGTGTTTCGTTTTCGATGTGCCACCCTGTATAATGCTATTATCCTCATCTCCTTATCCTGAAGAACGCTGTATACTACTACATTATCCCTTCTGCTCGAAATTCCGGTGTACATTCTCCCTACCTGTACCTTGCTGCTATACACCATATCTCCATTATCTGAAATCATGCTGGACCACTTGTCATCCGCTATTCTGACCCTTGTCTGCTCCCGTTTCGATCTTGCTCTGGACCCTTGTCCAACCTCTGACCCCATAAATGCAGGTTTGACATATTATGATTATCCTTACTTAAATTATGCACCCCGACACGTTGACCTGGTTGAGTCTCCCAGGACAAGTGGATCTTAGGTGAGGCGATGATGATTGGAAAATCAGTTTTTCAATCAATTTTTTTAACGCAGGAGTAATGTCTTTATTGCAACATTTTAAAATGACACTGAAGGTATGATGCAAATGGCGGACATATCTACTCAAAGAATTTTGAAAAAATAACAATAGCCTAATTTAACCGTAGAAAGATAGTCATATAGTAAAAACTAACATATAGTGGATACCAAATAAAATCCGATGCACGTCATAGGTGATGTCATTCATAAAAATCATGGTTACCAACAGTTGACTACATTCAATGTGACATTTCTACTTGAAGTTTAAATTTCCCCGTCTCGATTCGGTTGGTAGTGCCGTGCAGAGAAATGTGAGGTTGCCACTTCTCGTTTGTTGACATCAGTTGCCATTGTCCTTTTGTCGTACTATTAGTTCTTTATTGTTTAGTTTGTGAGTTTTGCGCTATTTGAGCTTTGAATCGTTGCCTTGCCAATTAAAAATTGTTCTTTTCAGAACAACAGTTACTGTGAAGTGGTGTAAAGTATCCAAAATTCCAAAAAAAATTAACAGTCGGTGTAAAGAGCTCATATCATGCTTATTAGAATACTTCGAACGGGAAAGGGATAATAATGGCCCACTTTTGCCTTTAACTGCTGTAAGGGAGGTGAGTTTACCCTTGTTGATAGCATAAGTAATAGGAACATTAAGGTTAATCTTCTTTTTCTTATTTTTAGCGTGTAGCAGCAGTATTGAAATTAAATGTGTAAGTGGTATTTCACAGGCAGTTAAAAATAAAGAAGTTTTACAATCGCCTCCTAAAAAACGATGTACTCCAAAGAGAGTCACTAATATTTCAAGGCTCAATACAAGTGGTATTCGTAATACTATTTACAACATGTATGAAAACAGTAAGTTGCCCAACAAACATATTTTGAATTAGAGAATGTATAATTGTTTTTTTGTAGAACAACATGTAACACTGTCTGGCTTGTGGGAGCAATTAAAAGCTAAGCAATTATTTGAGGGCAGTCGTATATCGTTAAGCAGACTATTAGAAGAAATAGGCTTCAAATGGGAGAAAGATAACCCCAAACGAGGGCTTATTAAACGTGTTAGTTTTTTGAGATCATACGTACAAAATAAACAAGAGGCTATTTATCAGTTTATCTTCTTAGATGAAACTTGGATTTTCCAAAGTGGCACCGTTCACCGTTCATGGCAAGATAATGACAAGCGAATTGTTAGAAGTACCAAAGTTGATGGAAAAAGGTGGGCTTTCAAATGTATAGAAAAATAAGCTCTATATAAAAATGAAATGCATTTGTAGGTATATCATAGTTCACGCTGGCAATGAAAATGGATTTGTTGAAGGTGCGTCGCTCATATTTTCATCGAAAACCCAGCTTAATGATTACCATGGTGAAATGAACCAGCAAAACTTTTTATATTGGTTTGAAAATCAATTACTAATAAGCTTGACCCAACCCTCTGTGATTGTTATGGATAATGCATCATACCATAGCATGTTATTAGTAAAAACTCCCAATAGCTCATGGAGAAGGCTGAAATTCAGAATTGGTTAACTGAACAAAAAATACAGTATCCACATGAAGCATTCAAATCTGAACTTCTAACGATTGTTGCACAGTGAGCAGAATACCCAATCTTTATGCATTTTGTTCCTATTTATTTTTTTTTAGGAATAAACCAACCAAAATGTATGTGGTCGATAACTTGGCAGAACAATATGGACAAGTTTTACGGTTACCTCCATACCACTGTATTTTTAACCCAATTGAGCTAATTTGGGGGATTGCAAAAAATTACTATAATCGGCATATTGGAAGAGATGGCCACACTGAAAATGACTGCCTAAAAATGTGGCAAGAGGCACTCCAAACTATTACCCCTGATATGTGGAAGAACTCCATTAGACATACAGAGGAGATAATTATGAAATGGTATAGAAGGGAACAAGTAATGGATAGACAGGAAATTCTTCCCATTATTATCTATGTTAACGATGACTCTACTGATTCCAGTGATTCAGGATAGTTAAAACATCAAAATATATTCTTTATAATGTAATCAAACTCCGGAATTGATATACAACTGAACCATACCATGCGGTTAATATCAGGCTCGATAAAGAGTACTCCTTGCCGCTAGTTGCCGGTATTGTGTAACATTACCCGAGTTCTTTCTTCTCTTTGATGTGAATTGGAAAAGTGTTGTAGTTCCTATATCATAAATAAATAATCAAATTAATTAAAATACGAGAAAACAATTTATGTTCTTTAAATATTTTGTGTTTTTGAATACCTTCCAAATCAGGTGTTTATATTCAGAAAGGAATTTAATTTTACAACAAGTTTATTTATTTTTAATATAATGGTATTATAGTAAATGGTAGGTACATATAAATAATTTATTTTATTAAATTTATTTGCTTAAAAGAAAATGTGCAAATTCTGGCAACAGCGCACAGCTCCAGATCGATGACGTGCATCGGGTTTTATTTGGTATCCACTATAAAAGATAATCGTACGTCTAGAAGACGTATGTATGTAAAATAATTGGAATTTTTCAATCCAACCATTTACTTCCTACCCTATACTAAAATTTGATATAGCAGTTTATAGAGGGTTATTCACAAGTCGTGACCAAAAATAAAACAGAGGACCGCATTTTAGGGGAGTCTTCTATGAAACATTTTTTCCTCTAGGGTTTCATTAAAAAGATGTTGCTTAAATGTTTTTAAAAATAATGAAAAATTCAAACTAACTTGTGATATGCATAATTATGATACAAGGACTTTATATGTAAACTTCAGCAAATCAAAAGCGGCATTTCGATCACCTAATAAAATTGGTCCGCTTCTTTTTAATAATTTACCATGGCACATTACGTCGGTTAAAAATATTAATATACTTGTAATGTCACGTATTCCTGTTAAGGGCTGATAGATTAGGTCAAAAGCAACCGATTTTGTCCTATCATGTCTTATCCAAAAGTTAACCATTTTTGAGTTATACCTACTAAGTGACATATTAATCCGAACACCCAGTTTAAATGGTTTTATTTTAATAAAAGTTGGTGAATGTATTTATCTTACTGTAAATAATAAGTGAACAAATTTTCAGCCTTATCAGTTGGACATTCCGGCTTTTATACTGCTTTTTTTAATTCACTAACGCTCTAAAAATGAATATTTCAGCCGTAGTAAAGAATCAACGTTGGCGGATATTGGTTCTTGACATCCTTTACGATCGGTTACGATACCTAGAGTACGGAGACCTGTACGATTTCGTCAACTTAGTGAGTTTGATAGGGGCCGTATAGTAGGACTTCGGGAAGCTGGACTTTCTTTTCGGGCAATTGCAGTTAGAGTGCAAAGAAGTGTAGACACTGTGGTTAGGTGTTGTCAGGCATGGCTTCGAGAATGCCGTACGCAAAGAGCAAGGGGCACTGGATGCCGCCGTAGAACAACAGACCGTGAAAATCGCCGCCTAAGGTTATTGGCCTTAAGGGACCGTTTCTCCACTACCAGGTCCATTGCAAATGAATGGTTTGCAGAACACGGAAGACCTATTGGCATGCGAAGTGTTTACCGATCAATGAGTAGTTTTGGCTTGTTTTCATACCGGCCACGGTCACTCTTGGATCAGGAATGGAACAGTATTGTCTTTAGTGACGAGTCTCGATTTTGTTTAGGCATGCACGATGATCGTGCCAGGGTTAGAAGGCGACGTGGTGAAAGGGGGAATCCACAGTTTTTTGTTGAAAGACATGTTCATCACACTGTTGGAGTTATCGTTTGGGGTGCTATAGCTTATGGTTCCAGGTCACTTTTAATCTTCTTCAGAGGTAACATGAACGCGCAGCGTTATATCCACGAACCCCATCTTTTACCCTATCTTGACACCCTGGCAGATCCAACTTTCCAACAAGATAATGCCCGACCACATGTTGCAAGAGTCACAATAGACTTCTTTCAACATAATGATGTCACATTGTTACCATGGCCACCAAGATCTCCCGACTTATTCCCAATTGAGCACGTGTGGGATATGATGGGTAGGAGATTGCTCAATTTGCAACGTCCTCCTCAGACTCTAGAAGCACTTCGAGAGGAGTTGGTGGTTGCCTGGAACGAGATACCACAGGAGGACATTGACCACCTGATCAGAAGCATGCCTAGGCGCGTTGGAGAATGCGAACAACATCAGGGTGCATCCACACATTATTAAAGGTCAAAGGGCTTTAAAGCAGTGCAATCATTTTGAAATTTTTATCATTTACTTATCATGCTTCATTAAGTACTTATACAAAATTTTATTAAAATAAAACCATTTATACTGGGTGTTCGGATTTATATGTCACTTTGTATTATTTGAATATTAAGTTTTTCATTTTTATTCCGATTTGAGACGGTTAAAATTGAAATATAAAAAAACTGCTTGCTTGATTTTGAGTTTTTTGTTATCGTCGAATAGCAGACATTACAATAGTTGATAATAAGTAATAAAATGTTGAAAAGCTGCAAACGTTTTAAATTACGCTTTTTAAATGTATCATTTTCTTTTTTTACTAACTTATTCGATAAAAAATGCAATTTTCTGTAAAAAATCTTCTAGTAATGGAATGTACAAATTATGTAAATAATATCTCTATCTAACAAGCTTTCATTTGAGGTATATTATCTGAAGTACATGCAGAAAAACAACAATGAGACCCACAGAGGCTGGATTTTTAAGGAATTTGTATTACCTGTTTGAACAAGTCGTTACTGTCCTCAAAGGACTCGCATGCCATGATTGTTTTATGGCATCAACTACTGAGTACGCGCACACGTTTTATTTTCGAGTTTTCCAGTTCATTTCGAGTGGTTTCTTTATCATCATGGCAGACGCAGAAGATCCGCCAGGACCTCGCCATAGCGAGCACGGGAAAACTTTTACAAAGGAAGAATACGCAGACATAATGTTCTGTTATGGACTTTGTAACGGCGATTCTGCAGC